AAGCGCTAGAAAATTCTTGGAAAAGCATCCAGCCGAAAACATAACAAAATCTAGACAAAGCCTAGAGCATTCCTAGGAAAATGCCAGAAAAGCCTTTGAAAATCTCATAAACCAACAGAAAACGTGACAAAATCTACGAAAAAGCAAGGGCATTGGCCGGGACCATGCCGCGACCAGCCCGGGATTCGAGCCCAGGACCATTTTGGACCGTGCTTATTTTCCCGCGCGGGTCGAGAGGGTGCCCCAAGATGTAAATCAATTGGGATGGCAGAATCTTGGACAATCCATTTCGCTTTCCCGTCAAATTCCGTAGCTATCAGGTCGCTTTTAGGTCAAGATTTCGTCACTGCAACAAGGGTCCGGAGGGGTAGGGGAGGTAAGGTCTAGGTCTAAGGCTAAGGACTAGGTCTAAGGCTAAGGATAAGGCTAAGGCTTAAGTCTAAGGCTAAGGCTAAGGAATAAGGCTAAGGCTAAGGCTAAGGCTTAAGGCTAAGGCTAACATCGACAGTCACGCCTCACCCCACGGTGTGGGGTCGGCGGATTATCAAATGACAGTTTTTTGTGATGTTCATTGCAGTAATTACATGAGTGCAGACGATTGTAACAGATATATTTTACTTCAGCAAAGTGAGCATGGTGATGGTCTTTGAAGACGATGAGCAAGGCACACAGTGCCAAAAGAAAAACACTACTGTACTTGAAACAAAGGGTACTGGATTTGGAGAAGGTTAGCATCATGAGCGACACATTTGCCAATACAACATGATGAGAACATTGGTTCATATTTTTGAGACTATATGATGTCTTCTATTTAGGACGCGGGTTGCGATCTAGGCCGTTAGTTTCATTGTAGGACTCAAGTCACAAGTTAATACCGGACAAGGACATGTGTTTCTCTTTATATATTAGACTCAGGCTCCTGAACGCCTGTGACAAGCGGGATCCTATTTGGATGTGGTGCCTTTAAACATGTCGTACGGCTTATGATAAAGCAAGGCTTCTTATTTTATGATATCAGACCACGGTTTTGTGTTGACTGAGGCTCATGTGAAAGACATGTCATTTACTTTACACAGGTCCTAGGGCGGTGGCACGCGTACTTTAATGCATTCACATTGTTTACCACTTCTGACTCTTAACTCTGATTGCTTTGACCGCTGCTCAAGCTTCATGCTCGTTTGGCTCTTGACTTTGGGAGTGTGGTTCGGGCTCGCTTTCCACTCACACTGCACGGCGTCGGTGCCCTACTTAGCCCGCTTTGTTTTTGGATCTACCTGGATTTCGCATGCTGCCCCCACGCAGCACCCAGACTCCGCTCCAACTGCTTCGCTACGCCTCTGGGCGTACTTGCGTGACGTCATCTTGATTGAAACTGTGAAGGCTTCAGCACGCGCGCACGTGCTCTGAGGGGCCTCGCTGACAATCTTGAGAGGGGGGTTCTGGGTTCTCCTCTGGACCGGGACCTGGTCACCGAGATCATTGAGGCAGTGTGCACATGTGAAGCATTGCGCAATTGCTGTATCGTGGATGTTGTTCGGCCACACTTTTACACAGACAGTGCCAAGCACCACTTGAGGCAAACAAGCAAAACATGAGGCAAACAAGACAAACATCTACTATGACTAGTCTCAAGTCATCATGTTCCCAAAAAATCGTTTTTGTGTTTGCGTGAGTTTGCATGATGCTCTCAAACATTGGAGGCTGTAGGAATGTTCTTGCAGGAATTCAAGGAGCTGACGCCAAAAAAGTCCTGCTGAAACTGTTTGGGGTCTACGGTGTACGCTGGTATAGTTAGGCCTGAGTGGAGTGGTTCGCAAACGGTGAAACTAGACTAAACTGCTTGTGTTGAGAACAGCGGGCGCCATTGAAGGGTGAAACTTTTGTTTCAAGGCCGAACACCCAACAGCAGACAGACCCGTAAAGAGCGCTTGATTCTACCCTGTGCACGGCACACATTTGTTGCAATGTGCAATGAACATCCAAGCTTTTCGTGCCCGTACATGTAAACAATTGTTACCTGGCCACTAGTTGGGGCTGCCCCGACCACCATGGGCATTATCTCAGATTGAATGACTTTGGATTTGCCTCCTGTAAATCCAATTGTGTTTTTATTGACAATGCGCCAGAAGGCCGCGTTACTTGGGAGAGAGCCCTCCTCGCACAAACGGTGGACAAAGGGGAGAACGCGAGAGTGATTAGAAGCGTGAGATGCCTAAGGATAGCTTCCAGGAGGATGTCGAGGCTGGAAAAGGCCACTGCTGCCATTGATAGTTGACCTGCCCTGAAGGTTGCATGTGGTGGTCAAGAAACTCGATGCGATAGAGTCCTTGGGATGTGCACATCTTAGCAATAGGGTACTGCAGGGTGCTGGGTGTATTGACGTTGAGTGTTTTATCGTGATTGATACCAACCAGGACCATCAACAGACAGTAAGCGTTGCTGAGCGTTGAATTGCTAATAGGATTGCCGCCCAAAAGCTTGAGGCCATTAAAAGCGAGTGACATATCATTTTGGATGTAGAGGGCACAACGAAGAGATCGTGCGCACACAAGGGGGCTTGTAAGTGGCTGCCGTGGTCTTGTGGCCCCTTGGTTTGGCACACGGGACCTTGGTTTAGATACAGAACGTGTATATATATATAGAGTTATATATGTAGTTAAAAAATGCACGCATGCTCCAACGACCCATTTGAAAGCAATCATTTGTAACGAGCAGCGGGTAGCGGTGATGGGATGACGCGGAGAGCACGGGAGACGTCCACCAAGCAGCATGTCTTTTGCAATTCAAGAGCTGAATCATGACGGAGAGCAGAGCATGCCAAAACATTGCGAAACAGAAGGGGCTACTGGGCTACTAAGTCTATCTAGCCAGCTGCTACTCACTACTCGTTATAATTCTGCTTGCGAAGCCTTCCCTTCTTCCCCGTGGCCTCAGAGTCTCTATCCTCTCTTTGCTCTCACTCACTCTCTTTCACAAATCAAAGGCTCAAACTTGCATTGCCATACTCGTGAGAGAATCACTGGGAGCGAGTAAGTGATTCTGAATTTTGAGCGTTCATTCTGCTCGAGACTGCGCCTTGTGCACCACCTCAGAGCATTCCAAGCCCCAGAAATGGTCACCGACTAATTCTTGAAGTACGACTCCTTAGAGATCCACCGATGCGGGGGCCAGAGGAAGAAGCCCGCAGAACTTCGAAAGGGCAGTTCATGAGACATTAAAGAGACTAAAAGGGTAAAACACTGCGGCGAGAGGCAACTGCCATTTGAGGCAAAAAGAGTGACAGGAACAAGGCTTACATGTACAAAGCCACCAGGGGCCAGGGGAGAAAATTAGTGGCATATGGCATACAAGTGTACCCACTGCACCACGAGCAGAGAAAGGAGCTAACTGGACTATACATCACTACGGCACAAGTTTGCCCTCTTGAAGGTTCCAAATGGACAACCTGCAAGACATTTATGTCACCTCACATGGTCAACTTTCCCCCCACCAAAGCTGTTTAAGTGTAATAAATCAAGAAGAGGGTGACAATAATCGACCGTCCCACACTGGCGTCGCGAAGTATTTGACGGCGGCTGATCCACATAGATGTTATAAGGCGTTTTAAGGCCGACGTTATAAGACGCAGTAAGAAGAAAACACTTTCTTCCTCCCGAAGTATACTTTTGCAAAAAACATCATGCAAGTTATTTGTGTGTGCAAGTTGGCATGTGCCGATTGGGAGGTGGTTTTTGAGGGGATTTGGAGGGTTCTGGACGTGTTCTGCGTGAAACTGGCTCCGAAGAAGTTTCCTTAGTTTAACTTTTGAATCCTTGGCATTTCCTGGCGGGTATTTTGGGCAAGGACCCTCAACTTCATAAACAATAACAATTTTCTGAACCCTCCAGTGGGCACCACTTGCAGTTTTCGGTGCAACGCCACCAGCGATAGTTATGATTCGCAGCGCAACCTTCCTTTAACAGGTCCCACGACACATTTAAGCGGGGAACAATTGCTGGTGGAGTCCCTCCCCGTGACAGCTATTGCAAGTTTTTGTTGCATGGTGCTTGTTGGTGCGCCTCGAGCATTCTGAGAGGTTCTCCACACGAGAAACATTTCTTGTGTGTATGCCTCCAATCGTTGACGCTGATATTCGTTAGAAATGCTGGCACTGCGACTGTGAAGACGTACATATGAAAAATGAATCGTTTTCCATTTCTGTAAACTGATTGTTAACTGATAATTATTTGGCCTGCTGAGGTGTCTCGACATTCTGTTCAGACAAAACTGGAACGCTGACAGCTGGCGTAATGCAGGCACGTCTTCCCTTTCTGCCTTCTAGTCTTTCTGCCTTCTATATAGTAACTTGAAGCTTCAAGATCTATCTTTAAATCACACTCTGAATGTTGTCAACGCTGACCATGCATTCTTGTGTTGCACAGCTTGAGCCCAGGTTCAAGAGGTGCTGCTCCCGTTCGGGGAGGCAATGGATGACCACCTTTCGTGGCTATATATAGTATGTTGAGAATACTGGGGACCGACACCCCAAAACGAACCACGACAGGTCTAGCGCCTTTCATCCAGACACTGCACTGTACGGCCCACCCGCTCCTCCCTTCGAGATCGAGAAGCGGCAGTTCAACACTCCCCAAATTATTTTGGTCATGGACTGACTGTTTACTGCCACGTGAAAAGGGTCTTACTAAACGACACATCACTGCCATTGACATTCTTTTTTTATCTTGACCTTCTGGGATTGAGCTCGTTCAAAGAGGGTGCTTTCATCCGCCAACGAATGTGGTCCCCTGTTGGGGACACTGATGATGAGTGACTGTATGGCTGCGTGCTTTGTCAGGCCATCCGCAAGATTGCAGGGACCTGGGAGCCAACGTAGCGAAGCATTGCGTCCCTCAGTGCCTTCCCAAAGCTGACCCAACAGTAGCATGCAAGGAAGCAAGGTCAAGAGCCAAGATTCTATCACGAGACAACCCACGTTCTGCTGAGATATGATCGAAAACACTTCTGCTACCAGTGGCACTATAAGTGTACTCCTTTCCCGCTGTCTGAAGTCAAATTCTACATCTGTCATTTCACAAACACAAGCACGCAAGAACTCCGCATGTTCAGTGGCTTCACACAGACCCATTGATTCCATGGCCATAGAGGAGCGAGCGACTTGTTTCAAGCGATGCGAAAGCCAGAACAAGCACGCAGCTGGAGCACTCTGTTCAATGACTTCAGGACTGGACATCATAAGAATCCCACCCTGAGAGCCTTGCCTGGGCATTTTGCCTGGGCTTGCATCGCTGATTTCGATCACGACAGCGCGAGAAAGATCAATTCCTGGTATCACTCTTTCATACGAGTATTGTTGAGCACGACTCTGCTGCAGCCAACTGACTTCGAAGCTAACATCTAGACGGCTAGACTTTGCTAGCCAGTGCACCTGCAGTCCGTCTAAGGTCTGCGCGAGTGGCTTCTGACACTGGCTGGAGTTCAGCTTTCGATATGGGCACCCCTGGTACTCTTCCTGCATAGCCAGGCTGGGAAATCCTGATGGTGAAGCCTTCAGCCTGTTTAACATGTCTACCAAGATTGTCAAATTCCTTGACATACCATTTGCCAAAAGAAAGTTTTCCTTTCATTTTTGTGAGCGCAGTTTTAAAAGTTGCAGCTCCGGTGACGATCAGGTCATCCACATGAACTGCAATCAGTCCAGTCAACTCGACTTTTCGTCCATCTTTGTCTCTGGCCCAATACTTCTCTAGGAGATCGTCTTGGTGAACACCTTCCAATCCTTTTTTTTGGGGGTCTCAAGTAAAGAGAACGAAGGTCGTACCAAAAAGGCAGCGGAGACATGTCCTCCTTGCAACACCCCGCTTTGATGCAGCAAACAGGAAACACTCTTCACTCCCAAACCGCCAGCTGTGGGAGCAGCAGTCCGAAGAAGTTCGATGTCCGGGCCCAAGTGTCCTTCACATACAAGGCGTGCTTTTGCAATGAGACTATGTCCTGACGCGTCCTTGTTTGTCAAAATCAACCGAGCACGGAGAATGCGACTCTTTGGCATTTGGGCAGCATCTTTACTCCTAATGATATTGACGGCTCCTAGACCCCAAAAACTTTTTCCATTCTTTGTTGATAGCTTTTTTGAATTGAGCAAGTTGGTCAGGGGTCGTTTCTTTCATTTTCCATTCACGATTCTTCTTCTTCTTCTGGAAATTCTTCGCGGCGCAACGGTTCAGTCACACCAGCCACCAAGGTCAGCCGCTTGTGTTGGTGATTGCATTTGTCGCACCAAAGGACGGTCCGCTGAAGCGATTCAAGGTTTTGCGCAGGTTGGTCGTCTTTGCCGCAATGATGTCGCGGACTGGTGGTGGTCGCTTTCGAGCTAACATTTTCCCGAATTTGCTTGACATGGTGGCCCTCTGAGCACTAACAGCGTTTCGAGATCGGTTTCTCCAATGAGGAACAGGTTCCTCACAAGACATGTCTTCATATGCAGGAAAAGTGGTTTGGTCGGGGACGTTTTCAACCCCTTCTAGCGTTTCCTTTTCTCCACTTGCTTCTATCGGATTTTCCTCAGTCACAAGTTCCAACTCTGGTGCACTACGTTCTAAGGCCGATGCGATATGTTCTGGACTTGCAACCGAATCTGCCGGACCTTTCATCATTGTTGCGATCTAAGGCAGCCGCTTCAGGTTCAGGCTCATGTTCACAAAACCCTTTGTTGGTGGTCTTTTGAAAAGACATCTCCGTCTACCTAGCAAAGGAACTTCTTCAGCTGTCACCGTTTGACCCGGTTAAAGAGGGGGTTGATCGCGAGAAATGGCCGGAGGTTGAGAGTTGAGACTCAGTCAAATCGAGAAACCTCTGCTCTTCGGGCCGACTTCCTGCAGGTGTTCCTCCAAATGCTCTCCACCATGGTGTGTCCAATGATTTCTTCCTCAGTAGCTGATCTGAGGTTTTCAACCCGAACTTTGAGCAAAGTGCGTCTCCAGCTCACCCACGCGGTTCCATGTCCTTGCTGTGCAGCAGTAGCAGGTCCACGCCAACTGTGAGGTGTGTTATTATTGTGAACCTGGTTTGGTCGACCTGAAAGTTGGAGATGGTAGAAGTGAACAGTTCACCTGGCGCGAAGGTTTCTTTGTGTTGTTTGGGTCGAGCAAGGATAGCGCGACGAATCCGACTCGAGTTATCCAACTGCGTCCACGTGATTCGAGCTGTTTCTCTGATGTTCCATATTGCTGCAAATTGTCCTCCTGCTTGGATGTGATCGCGCGCGGCCGGGTCCTGTGGTCGATCTAACACTGAGCCGGGAACGCACAAGTCGTAGCCCAATACCCATTCAACGCGAGAATCCATGCCGTCGAGACAATTAATTCCTGGCAGCTGCCGTTTCTTGCAATGCACACCTGAAGGCCGTGTCGTCATAGATGCTGTGTTGATCCATCAGTTTCCTCATGATCGTTTCCGCTACGTCGTTCAACCAAGCCTCCTCTCCAGTGGCTTTCGACTGGAATGATGGTGGCCTGTGTGCCAACTTGTTCAAGGAGAGCTTCAAAATCCTTGGTGAACTCTCCTCCGTGATCATAGAGCACTTGAGTAGGGCTTCAGGGAAGACAGAACCACCTCATTGAATTCATCAGCTCTAGGAACTCCCCCTTTAGGCACTTCCCAAGTTGAATGGCTTGACCATCTCACACCGTTTTCTGTTGAATATCAAGTTGTCGGTGAAAGTGTTTGCGACAGTACTTCCCAAAACCCTCTGCGTGTCGGCGTTTGCGTTTCAGTCGTTTGACCTTAGCTGCGCGTTTCACTCAAGGTGGGGCCCATGAAACAACTTCAGGAGCCCATTTCTGCATTTCTTGGTTCAATGCTATTTGTGGTTGGCCGGTAGTCAGGTCAAGACCATCTATGGCAATGTCTACTGGCTGAAGCGCTCTCCAGCCCCGTTGCGAAGCAACTCGACTCAAGGTCATTGACCCAGCGAAGACTTCCAAAAGCACGGGAGCCCCATTTTTGACTCGCAGACAAGTTGTCTATGTGTTGCGAGAGTTCCGAAAAGGCTTCTAATGCCGTCCAGACTCGTTCCAGATGACCTCGATTCGTCATAATTCGTTTGATGCTACTTTTTAACAGACTATGACTATGGTAACAGCTCTTCCAGCGTCATTGCTGGGCGAGAAGCAAGCGTTGGGCCCTGAGCTTGAGCAGCTGCTGTGGTAGGCATTTGATGGCGTAGTGCAGCAGTGCAGCAGCCCGAGTCAACAGTTGTTGTGCCTCCATCTCTGCTGTCTGAATGGCCTTCATGACTGAAGCGTTGGCTGTCAAAGTGTCCGTGGTTGGCGCTACATCCCATTTGTCTTCGTAAGACCTCTTGGCCATGGATTCCTGAGGAGGTGTCTTCGATCCTGGTGTTTGAGCCTGAAGAGCCAAATGACATTGTGCGCCCCAGTGTTCCCTCAATTGAGCTTGAAGTTCTCCGCACTTCAGCTTGTCCCCCGTGGCAATGCCATGAAGATGGCGCAAGGAGATCAGGTCCTTCAAGCGCAGCTGAGTGAAGCGAGTGATCAGACACTTGCTGTGAGCCACATGGTGGTCAGGGGGCTCGCGAGAGGAATTCACCTGTGGGCTGTGCCTTCATCAAGGGCTTGGTGAGGGGTTCCTTTGTGGTCGGGGTGCCGTGTGAACGGCAGCGCTGATACGGAGGAGATTCCCCGCTCCAGCACTCTTGACATTTTTTCATCAGCTTGGACGCCGCGAGGGATTCACTTTGAGCAGAGAGTACTTCAACACCGTTCCAAACAATTTACCCTTGCCAGTGCCAACCGACCAACTCCAAGCCTCCCCTTTTCATGGAGAGGCGTTGTGAGGATGCGATTTTTTATCCAATGATAAAAACAAAAAACAACTCAGAACCAGAATCGCTCAGTCCTATATGAAGAGCAAACTAAGAAAGAAGACAAGAAGTGCTTGTATCGTGCGCATCAATGGCTTCCGAGCGATGCGCCCAACTCCGTCTTTCCTTTTCGTGTCTCATGACCATCATGTCTTTGGTGACCCATGCTGCTTGATCACTAAGGAGCGCGCCGCTAAGACTTTGACCTCTGGTCTCTAAGGTTGAAGCTGGTTCACTAAGAGTCCCACTTAAGGCTGGAGCGATGCTAGGTTCGACAAATAAGGAGGAAACCCGTGACTCTGTTCCTGGAGGTGGTGGCTACAACTAAGCTCTCTCCAGTATCGACCACGCTGACGTGTCGCCTGAGAGCTCAGGATCAAAAAGTTTCTGTTGTGCCTCATGTGTGGCTGTTGGAGGAAGACAGTGTAACCAGTCCATTCGCGATCCACGAAAACAGGATCCGAGTGGGCGCTCTATTCCAGCCCTTCGGGCCAGAATTCTCCTCAACAAGAGTGGATCTCTGTCTAAGGCACCCCGGACTTGTCTACTTGGCGGAACTGCTAGCAGGTAGACGCTTGGCCAACAACGCTCCAAACGCCGCTGCTTGTTGCTTTCCGGGCGCGCGTCTGGAATGCTGCGCTAGCCTTTAGAAGTCCCAAGCAGCTTTGGATTTTGTTGAGCTCGATTAAGCGCCGGGAGGATGCGTGGGGCTGGCCTTTAGTTCACAATTGCATCTTCACAATGACATTGCTTTCGGCGTGTTCGCAACTTTCAAGCGATGACACTCATGACACTCCACCAGCGTTCTTTGGATGGAGATGAGCAAGCAAACAGTAAACAGGCCGAGGGCCTGCAACATCTACAGTATATGTCAACTTGTAAGTCCTTGCGCGCGTGATGCACGAAGCTGGATCCAATCTGGCCGGTGATATGCGCATGTGCGTCCCAAGTGCTTTGGATTGGATGGTTTTTCCAAACATGGACGCCAGATGCTTCTGCACATCTCCACCTATCTTTTTGGGAAGGCTTTAGCTGCGGTCAAACGAGAATCCAACATGCTTAGCTTTAGCTCCTTAACTTAAGCTGGACCAACAGACTTGCCTTGTGTGTCCAACAAACGAGATGAGGCAATTTTCGGCATTTTCCGTGCAAGGCCTTGGAGATGAAGAGTTTCGAGGCAGAGGCGCGCATCGGGTGAGGATTGCAGGTTGAATAGACTATTTACGGAGGTTGATCTGCAAGTTGGTACGTTTAATGTATGGGGGTGTGATGTCATCCAACGCCCTTAGAAAGAGAGCGGGTGAAAGATATGCAGCAACCTTGCACTTAGAATACGACATGCAGATAGAGTATCTTTTGATCCGTTTGATGTCATGAATGGAGATGGGTGCACCACACCGACTGAAAGCGCAACATTCAATCAACACCTTTTCGTGCTTATCAGGGCCACTGACAGCCCAGGGACGAGGGCAGGATAAGGCGGCCCTGAGCTGGCAGGGGTAGAAGAGCCCGAAGAAAGCAAACTGGAAGAAGCGCGAGAAGGTCTACATGATTGTTGTTTATTCTAAACGCGCGATCCAACCTGCCCACGCAACACTAACATATGCGTGTGTATTTTTTGGTTGCCAACCATAAACGGCCATGCTGCGCAGGCCGTCAGCACGAGCTGCAGCATTTAGGTCACGAAGAGGTTGGCCAGCTGTACTTGCTGTCCAGATTGGCCGCGCAAACCTTCGAGCGTGAGTGGGTGAAGGTCACGAAAGACTTTTGAAAGGCTGTCGCGGAAACCAGAACCAAGGTGGCTTTCTGATCAATTAGGGATGGCCAACTGACAAGAGGTTTTGAAAGAATGTTGAGTCTCAAAAGACTTGGCTCATGGAGCAAGTGTGCAGCGGCAAGGCCATTGGCGTTGAAACCAAGATTGCTCAGCAGGTTGTGTGGCGTGTTGTGGGCGAATCACGCAGCAACTGCTACTTCTCTGTTGTTGACGACGGCTCCAAAGTGGTGCTCAGCGCCCACAAGTGTTGGAGAAGCGGTTCAGCTCTTTGCGTACAGTGGCGTACAGCCAGTCAAACTAGCTGGGACTGGGATCGAGAGTGCCAAACAGCCCTCACCGACGGGTGGTGGGACAGGTGTGTTGGAAGAGAAAATTACACTACTACTACACACCAAGGAATGGCGCAAGCGTCCGGGGGCGCGCCCGAAAAAAGGAAAGTGTTCCTAGCCACGATCATGGAGGTCACGTGACCTGTGGATGACTCGATCAATCCTACGGCCGCTTCGGCTGTGGGCGCCTCTATGCTGACCTTGACCCACCTATCCCGAAGGCTTCTATGTCACATAGAATGTCCGCTATGAACGCTCTGCCCCCGATCGAAGCGCATGGCGTTATTTTTCGCAAGGCCGATTCCCTCAGACCATCTGGCCTTGACCACGAGAGCGGGCTTGTTGGTCATGTTGACAACTAGCTAACTAACTCGGTAACTAACTCGCGAACGAACTAGGTAAGTAGCTAACTCACTGACTAAAAAGCTCAGTCACTAACATTCACTAACTCACTCACTCAACCTAACCTAGCCTAACCTAACCTAAACTAACCTAACCGAACCTAGACGAACTAACTAAACTAACTAACCACCCAGCTAGCCAACTAAACTAACTAGCTAACTAACTAGCTAACTAAATTAACTAACTAACTAACTACCTACCTAACTAACTAACTAAGCAACTAAGTAATTAACTGGCTGACTGACTGACTGACTGACTGACTGACTGACTGAGTGACGAAATAGTAACTTAACTAACTAACTAACTAACTGACTGACTGACTGACTGACTGACTAACTAAACTAAACTAAACTAAACTAAACTAACTCAACTAACTCAACTAACTTAACTACCTTAACTAACTTAACTAACCAAACTAACCAAACTAACCAACTAACTAACTAACTAGCTAACTAACTAACTAACTCACTAACTCACGAACCGACCAACCGACCAACCGACCAACCGACCAACCAACCAACCAAGTAAGATATGCTTTGCTTGTTGATGCTTGAATGTGGTGCTGATGGCCCCACCCCCACACCCCTCCCAGAAACCACCCATTATGCTGGTGATGCTGGTTCTCGTCGCAAGTGATCGGCAAAAAAGTGAGGATCTGTATCGTCGCAAGTGATCGGAGCGTCGCAAGTGAACGGTGCGCCGTTGCAACCTGAGATGCAGTGATCGCTTCCGACTGTCAAAGTGTTGTCGCCGGTTGCCTCCTTGAACAAGTTCACTGTCGGTTGTCCAAGGCTGAGTGCTTCGACAATCGGTATTTTGTGAGATTTATATCATTTGCGCTCACGTTCGTGACCGAAATGGTCAGAGATCAGGCACACTGCCGCGTTGGTGATTTAAAGCAGCCAGATCACTGGACTCGCGCAAACCCCGAAGACGACTGGCTAGCGAAATGCTGCCAAAGATCTTGCCAGCTTGAGCGAGCCGATGCTCAAGTTCACATCTTCTCGACGTTGCTCCTGTTGCCAAACGACAGTCAGAATGCGTGCGAAGACGGCTCCGTGTTTCCTCATCTTTCCAAATCCTACAAGTGAAACTGTTCCCTCCCAATCCGTTTCTGCTGGAAACAATCGGCTTGTCACAGCCCCCGAACATGATCGAAGATGTCAGTCTCAATCTGTAATTGTTGCGCAGCCCGAAAATGCTTTTATTCAGGCCTTTTTGAACCAGAGAAAGCGATCCCCGAAGGAGGTCAACTGAAGCTCTAATTTATTATTAGACAGGTCAGAATCGAAGGGATCGTCGTTGTCTCAAGTTGATGCTTGTGACGCAAACAAAATGGCCTGTACCCTCAGAACAGGAAGAGTGCTTTTCCTCGCCTTCTGTAGTCGCACTGACTGTACATACTCATCTCGCGCAATGTAAGTCGCTGCACGTTCCCGTATGCATGTTCAGATCTGCTCGTGGATGGATTTGGGAGTTGCAAGGCATTGTCGTTCTCAGTGCAAAGCACATCTCTTCTTTGCAGGAGTTTGGCGTCGGAAGTTTTAGCGCTAGCGGTTTTTGTGGCCCTGTCACTTTCGTCAACCCTGTCCCTATCTGGTTCTTCCTTGTTCGCATCTCGGGAAATCCGCCAAATTGTGAGCGCTTCCATTCACAAATGTCACCTGATCCTGCATGGCACCCCAGCCTCAAGACGCAGAAAAAGAAGAAATGCATCCCTAGTTAAGCTGGGCTACGGAGGGCGCCAATTACTTCGGTCTGGGCTTTCAAAGTCAGACACACGTTCAAGATAAATGTACGTACGGTCGGAACCCTACCGGTTCTCATGAGACCTTGGTATCACTATAGTGGTGTGAAAATGGTGGAAGGCCTCCTGTTAGATTGAGCAAGACGAAAGAATCGCTGTGACCTTTATGAGTAGTGAAATAAGTGTAACTAAGATGATTTAGCGGACCAACAGACAAGCCTGCCAGAGAACTGGCGCGCTTGTGCGCGCCAAGGGATGTTGATGCGATTGCTGTAGCTATTGCAATTGTCATTGTTGGTATGTATATGGGGTTTAGGCTAAGCGGAAGGGTAGGATCATGATAGGATTGGTGGCCCCCAGGGTGGCATGCAGATTGATGGTTGCTGAACTGCTTGCTGACGGGTTTGCTGGCTTGTTTGTGTTTTTGCTTGGTGGCTTGCTTGCTGGCTGTTGCTGGCTTGTTGGCTTGCTGCCTTGCTTGTTGGCTGCTTGCTCACTTGCTTGCTGGGGTGTGGGTCGCCATTGTGATGACAGTGATGGAGGCAAAGGAGGGTCCCCAGCTGAAGCCATAGCCTCAAGACTGCTGGAGTGAAAGCCGTGTGGTTTTGAGATGTTTGTACTGATCCACTGAAAAGAAGATCACAAGGGGAGCTGCAACTATGAAGGGGAAGTAGGGAAGTTCAAAACAAAAAAGGCGCACAAGCACCGTCATGCGTGTAAGGGTCTAATTCAACACAACCTCGGCTGCCTCGGCTGTCGCCCCTCGTGCAAAGAGATGACTTCCGTCATTCTTTGAATTATCCACTCTAGCAAAAGGAGGAAAGAAGGAAGCTCCTGGATACAGGGAGTGATGCACACACACAGCCTTAAGATAAAGGCAGGTTTTCGTACGCAGTTGGATGTCTCCAGCTGTGTCGTGCCAGCCCCCCCCCGTGGAGCCGGCAAAGAAAGCAAAGAGACAACTTCCGAATAAACTGTTTGTACACACGCACACATGCAGGTCAGTGGCCGCAAAGGAAGCATGGAGGCACTTGCAACTGCTGGTTTGCTCAACAACAATGCGCAGGCTCGTTGTGTTTCCTCGTTGGTTTGACAGCCCTGTTTATCCTTCTGTTTTTTTTGCCAGCATTCTGTCGTTTGACGCATTAACAGGTGCTGCAGACATCAAGTGGTGAACTTGACGTTGCTTGCCTGAATGCAGGGCTTTGAAGGGGAGGGTTTCCTATATTATATTCATATGAAGTGCCTTCAAACTTTGCGATGATTGCGCTCCAAGCCCTGTGACATGATAGGGGGCTCTCCAAGAAAGAACGATACCCTTTAACAAGGTTCCAAAACATTGGAAAACGATAGAGAGAGAGAGAGGGAGCTCACAAATCTGAGGGTGCAGCAGCCACACATAACAAATTTATATATCACATTTTGACCGTGCATGCTATGCTCTTGAGAACGTCGCATTGAGGTCTGCGGTTCGCCGACGGAAGTTGCCATTTTCAAAGCGGCTTCTACAATGCTCCTGTTGCAAGAAGAAACTGTGTTCTCACATCGGGTCTTCAAGGGAGCTTCTCCCACCCTAAGGGCCGAGAGGAAGCTTCATTGAAGAACATGAACTGATTCTTTTTGCTGTTGCTGGCAGCTTATGTTTGCTACTTAGCTTGTACTACCACTGCATCCTAATGATACACATACATATATATATATAATATAATATATACTGTATATATATATAGACTGTAGCTGGTTCATCCTTGAAACAAACATGTTTTCTCCTGTTGTCCTGGGGCTTTTGAACCAGAGGTCCGGGACATGATATGACCCGGATGTCTCCAAGGCTCGGATTGTCGATCCGTGATGCAGCTCCAGAGCAGGCAGGGGCCAAAAGAAGAGTTCTCAGACCTTTTCGTCAGTATTTCAGTGTTTGCATGATTTTTGTGTTTGGTCGTAAGAAACGAAGCCGTTGGGGTTCTCAGTCTTTAGCATTGTCATGGAGAGAATTTGACCGTCAATCCTTTGGGGCTCCTTAGCTCCTTGAGTCTTCCCAGTGAGCGCGGTCACCAGGCGACACTCTCCCGACCAGGTGGCTGTCACCACGTGATACTTGTCTCCTTTCTTCCTTGTCTCCCCACGCGGTGGACGACGCACACGCCTGGCGGCTGCTTGCTTTGTTGCAATCAAAGTTCTGTTGGCAGAGGATCTCGCAAGTACAGTAAAGGTTTGTCTCATTTGTTCCACTTTCAATTGTTTTCACTTGTTTGGGGTCCATGCTGGTGTATCACCACAGGTAGCTTGAGCTACCTGAGTTCTCTATTGTAGCTGTGTTTGCCCATGTGTTGGGGTCTATATGTAAAGTTTCAATGAGGCGGTGGAGGCCCTCCCCTTGGGTCAACTCCCAGCTTGTCCATTCAGAAGTACAGCCACATACATGCTCAATGTGGCATAAAAGCCCCAAGAAGAGTCTGAAGCACTGCTGCGCTATAGGACATGATCCACTTTCCAATTTCTTCGTGCGTTACTCCTCGCGCGCCAGTACGTGCCTACAAGCTCTTTTCGGTCACCCCGCTCACCCTCTCATCTCAAAATTATGCCAGCATAGACCCCAGATAGCAAAAAGACATTTCCGGCCGCAGCAGCAACGGCGCCAGCGCACAGCAGCGGCCCCAAGCGCACACAAGAGCGGCACCCTGCAGCGGCACCAGCACCCAAGCTCACGCAGCTCTTCCTATACTTGGAATAGGAAACCCAATAGCTCACGCTATCTAGGGAAATGCGCCAGCATAGGCTCCAGATAGGAAAGTGACCTTTCTGGCAGCACCAGCAGCAACGGCGCCAGCATTCCCAAGCGCACACAGCAGCAGCACCCTGCACAAAAGCTCCCAAGCGCACACAGCAGCGGGACCCTGCAGCCGCAATAGCACCCAAGCTCGCAAACGCACACACGCAGCTCTTCCCATAGCTCACGCTATCGGGTGAAAAGCAATACAAAAAGTGCTCCAGAATACTTAGTCTATATAAACCAAAAAGTGTACAAGCATGAAAGAAAGCGAAACCATCAAGGGAGACAAGCTTGGGAGACAAGGCGGCAGCGGCAGCCACGGGCGAAATCATGAAGGGAGACAAGCTTGGAAGACAAGTCGGCAGAGGCAGCCAAGAGCGAAATCATCCAAAAAGACACAATCTTCACAGACAAGGAAGGCGGCAGCGGCGGCCAAGAGCGAAATTATGAAGGGAGTCAAGCTTCACAGACAAGGCAGCAGCGGCAGCCAAAGGCGAAATCATGAAGGGAGACAAGCTTGGGAGACAAGGCGGCAGCGGCAGCCAAGAGCGA